GCAGCTCGAAAATATAATATATTAAGATTTTATTTAAAAAAAAAAATTATTAATAATATTAATATTTATGTATTGATTTTTTTTAAAAAATACAGTAAGATTTCATGTATTTAAGGTTCATGTTCGAGTTTGAGTTTGAGGCTTCAATCGAGTTAAGTTTAAGATTTTTTTTCATTTGAGCCTTTTCGAGCTGCTCACGAGCTTCAGTTCAGGATTTCGAGTTCGAGTTGAGCTTGAAAATTTTAAGCACGAGTTTTCGAGTCGAGTTCTATTTCAGAGTTTTCGAATCGAGTTGAGCTCAACAATACTCGAGCTCAACTCGGCTCGTTTACACCCCTAGTTGAGATCATGAGAGGAGTTGAGATTTCGAGAGATTTTTGATGATTGTTCTCTTTACATTTTTACCTAAATACAATTGATTTCTAGCCATAAAAGAAGGCTTTCTCCTTCATTTTCAACTCACTCATTTCTCCGTTCTCCTCTCTTATTCTATATTTTCTCTCTTCATAAGCATAGTGAAGTTTTTCCTTTTCGATGGCTTTTGATATTTTTTTATTTTAGTAGTATTTACTCTGGATAAAATATTTTCCTTTCCTCCAAAAAGAACAACACTATTCAGAGTTTCACTTTCTTATTTCGAGTGTATGAAATTCAGAAGATTGTGTTAACCTTGGGGCAACGTCCATTTTCAGGATTACACTAATCTAGACGAAATGCTTCTAAGACAGTGATTATATGACATAATGATTATATCATCTTTATTTATTTATTTATTTATTATTTATGTTAGTTAATGCTAATATCTTATTTTACAGCAGTATCTTTTTACTAACACATACTATCCATAGTAGGCATGCACTTATTATGAAATTTAAATTTCTTTATACTAGATGTCTATTTTATTAATATGTACATTTATATAAAAATTTTATATTATTAATATATACATGTCTATTATAGAAAATATTTTTAAATCTACCAACTTTTTCACGACCACGAGTGTTAGCCATTTCTTTTACCTTAGTTTTTGCTTTTTCCTATGTGTCCTTATTGGTACGAAAAGGCAGCAATGAATGGCTCCCACAGTCCCATCTCGAGAGGGCCACATGTTACATGTTACATCCAAAAACCAGTTAATTTTAGGTTTTTTAAAAATAAACATGTTAACTTTCCCCCTATAAGTTATAAACATTTTTACTCAATATTATTACAAATATCTTACTTTGTCCTTAAAATTAAAAGGAACATGTAATATAGTCTAGCACAATAACATTTTTTGTCCTGAAAATTATATATTTTATTAGTTTTATCTTAATTCAAATATTTTACTAAATTTAACCGTTCATATATAATTTTTTTATCAATTTAATTTTTTTCTCATAATACTGTCAAAATCAAACTAACTAATCGGATCAAAGTAATATCAAGAAAGTAATAAAAAAGTAATATAATATTTTCTGGAGGAAAACTAACAATTTAAATGAAAAAGATTAAAATAATGAAAATTTTAAATATAAATAATTAAATTTATTAAATTATTTTATATTAAAAACAAATTTATAAATTATAAAAAACTAAAATTATTATTATACAGATCATTATTTCGTCTAGATTTTAATAATGGTATGATTTGTTTGAGTGTCCTATTTGTACTTTTTTTTAAAATAATAAATTTATTAGCAAATTTACAATTAGGTGATCTTGTGTGTAATTTACCCTGAAAATAAAGATGTCTACCCAAAAATAGATAAAGTGGGTATGTTCATTTTCAGATCAGACATTCTCTTGTCTTGGCACCAAAAAGTTAAAAAGAGAATATATATATATATATATATATATATATAAGAATTGAGCTTTTTAACGACGAAAACTAAATGCATGTTTCTATGTCAAAAATAATGAAATTTATTTGTTTGAGTAAAATTAATTTAGAATTTTAATATTGGTAGGAACTTAAAAAGAGGGTTTGACTAATTTAAATTGGATTATCGTAGTTAAATTTAATATCAGTCGTTCATATTTTATGGGACTATCAATTTATGAATAGTAGTAATAATTTTACGTCTAATGCCAACGTTAAAAATATTATAAAATCTCTCGGTTGAGAGTGGGAAAGAGACTAGAACAACACTTCACCTATTTTCCTTTTCCTTTTCTTCCTCGAGAAAATAGAGGATTTCAATACCAACCAATCATCATATAGTCATTGACTGTGATTATTTGTCTAAACCAAAAGGATAAACTATTAATTATGGAAATAACTAATTTATTTTCATTAACAATTGGTGCGATGAAAATGAAATTTCTCTTAATAGAAAAAATCAATCAAAATATACCTTCAAAGACTAAATAGACAATATCATCCCTTTTGTGCTTTGATTTTGATTGCCTCAAGTCCGATTTTGGTCGCAAAAGGGTTGTCGATGAATTCACCAGCCTACGTATAAAAAACACAATGAATATTACTATAAGAGATGTTCATCACCGATATCACAACACCTGAAGTAACCTAAAAAAAAGGAAAAATTACAGTAATATTAATAATCGTTACATAGTTAGGGTTAATTCAAGTGGTAAGTAGTTTGATATCATTTAAGTAAGGTATTGAATTCGAATCCTTGTGTATGTAAAAAATTCATACTAGAAGACTTACCTACTAAAACCAGATGTGCAATACAGATCGGTCTAGATTAATCAAGACAAGAATTAAAATTAAGAAGAAGAAAAAAATCGTTGTATAGTTAATAAATACTAGAGCTGCCTACAAGTTTGAAACTTTAAAATACCGATTCAAATCAGATTTAACCCAGAAATTATAAACTCAAAAAGTATACGACTTTTTCTAATCATGACATATTAGGTTGTGTGACAACTATACTAACAACTAAATAAACATAATAATTATAAATTTCGTAAAATATATTTAAATATGTAAAATATTCAACAAAAATTATAAATTGAATTTAATACGGTGTTTAACATGATAAAACACAATCCTAGATTTTGAAAATAATATATTTATTTTGTATACTATATAGTAATGATTTAATTTTTTTTTAGCTTTGTTTACGATTGTCTCTCGTTCGATCATTTCAGTGTCGAAGATGAACTGATTTCTCTTGTTCCACAGAGCCCAGATGACTGAACTAAAAAATAAATCCCAGTTCGGCATTCCATTCAACGAGGGGTTGGAGCTTCCTATATTTGTTAGGATCCATTCTTTAAGATTGCAGCTTGGGAAATCATCCATACATTCTGGTTTTATCAATGTTGATAGACTGTGTAAGCCATCGCGCAGGTTCTGACGACCATTACAACAAAATAGGTTTTTAACGATTTTTTTAGTATTACAGCGCGTTTTAAGCGCCACTAAAAAAATTACCGGTACTAATAAGAGCGCTGCTAAAACGAACGCTGAAACTAAAATGCTGATATATGTTATGATTTATAGTGGCATTTTGTTCACAAATACCGCTAATTCTCTTGTCTTTAGTGGCGTTTTTTCCTTAAACGCCGCTAATTCTCTTATCTTTAGTGACGTTTTTGGCTTGAAATGCCACAATTATCTTAGTGGCTTTTTTTTTACCACAAGTGTTTATTTGTGTGGCAAAATAGCTAATTCTATTGTTTTTAGTGGAGTTTGTAATACAAAACGCAGCTATATATTACTTATATTGTAGTGGCATTTTTACAAAAATGTCGTTATTTTTCAATATGTTTTGTTCCTACTTTGTATTACCCAAATTTAACTTGTAACAATATCTAATAACAACCTACAAATAAAATTACGCTTCCAATTAAACAAAAATACATAAAAATATGAATAATTCAAAGTTTACAAACATCCAACAAAAATGTAACGTAGTTCAATATTGTTCACTGGAATAAACAAAACATTAACCTAAGAAATCACCTAGGATGAAGAATTTTTTGCTCGATTCTGCTGTTTCATAGTTTCAAGTTGATTTTGAAGTTCTTCACATCCTCTCTGCTTCTCTCTCTTCTATCGTTTATTGCCACTTGAGGCTGAGTAATCATGCCACCAACATAATTTGTCATCCGAAGCTGAGTGTTGATGCAGCCCTACATAAGGCTGAGTGTTGATGCAACCCTACATACAAAGTTGAGATAAAACAAGTCGTTCCTAAAAATAAACACACAATTACATTCAAATAATCTAGAATGTAATTTTGTATACTGAGCATCAACTCTCAGTCTCTTACCCTCATCTTGGTGTTGTACAAATGAACATAAATACACTCGATGAAGTGGTTTGTAATCTCATTATAATCAGTAATAGGCCTAAAAACAACAAGGTTCAAAGCTATTGCAATCTCATTAGAACAAATAAAGGGCCTGAAAGCAACAACGAAATGCAAAGCTAGAGATGTAACATCAGTTTAAATATATAACTGATATACAATAATCTAGACATTAGAAGGCTATGAATAAAATAAAAACACAAATTTCTTTTTTGTACCACAGGCTTCAGAAGATTTTCTAGTATTCCAACAACATAGTCCAAACGAGAGTTTATCGTATCCTCGGGAAATTCAGCCTCCAACAACACGTGCAGCGGCTCGTTAAGATGTTCACATCCCAGTTTATCTTTCAGTTTCTCTTCCTGTAGAAAAGCCATCAACCAGTAGTGCAAATTTTAAAGAAAAGTACAAATGAATAACAACAATTGAAGCAAAACACCAATGGAAAACTCAATCTCATATTTATGTTGAAAATATGAAATTTCATCTCAATTCACAGTTCACTAAGCGACTAATGACCTACCTTTAACTAGGTAACAAGTTACTTCATTCGGAAACTAGGAATAATTCTTAAGTTCGCTTAGGAGTATATCAAATGCAAATGGAGACACACATTAACTTAAAAGGAAGTAAATGAAAATCTTACTTTTGAAATAGCTTACATTTGGATATTATCCACGGGTACATCAAGTCTAACAGCCCGCTTTACAATTGGTGTTGTAGGGACTCATCGCAAACCAAGCCAACCCATCGATGCATCTTGAATTGAAGCAACTCGTTGTATAAGCCCGTTTTCCTGAAGCAATAAATTTTCAATAAAAGAACTTTCCATTTTCCTTTGATTTAACATTAATTGGAAGAAAATCATTGATCTTAAGAACAAATGGGCATATAAACATTAAACAGAATTACCGCTGTTTGCATTGCAGACCATCCCTCCATATCCATCTGTCTCCCATTAGGATGTTGAACCAACGACCTTAAAGGAGTATCATGCTCAAATCTATCATGATCAGCAAAACCGGGATTAAGACCTGAAACCCTTTTAATCTCTGCAGCAATGTAAGAAAAAGCAAAAGTGACTCCATATGTTGTCCAGATCGTCTTTGCCAGTAAATGTCATCATCTGGATTTATGATTGATTACATGCTATAGTACAACTCTCAAGTGGCATCCCTCTGGTTTGCTCACTTTAAAAGCACATAAAAGAGTGTAGAAGTATCTAGCTTAAGAATACTTCAGCTTGTAATCACTTAAAACCAAATGTAGCCAGTTAAGAATTATAATATGACAATTATATTTGTATGGAGTGGATTATCCTCGAAAGAAAAAGTACCAACATAACACTATGATAATGAGTCTCCGATAACAATCTATAAGAATGAAACATACATTTAACTAGAAGAGGATTATCCTTCAAAAAGTGTATATTAACATGTATGGATGGGACAACTTATAAGAATGATTTTCATTCGACCACAGAGAGAAAACAATCACATCCATTTTCTGATTATACAAATCACGACAGCTAATGGATTTGACATCAATCAAAAAGGATTAAAAAACAGATGATTCAATAACCTTGATTAAGAAGCCGGGTGCATAGTGGCAGAATTTGCATAAAAGGTCCCAACTTCTGTTTCTTAACCAATAATTCAGCTAAATACCTGCCATTGTTGCTTAAATTGTAAGACATATTGAAGAAATACAATACACAATAAGCTCATAAACCAACCATGGAAACAAACATCAATCAGAACAAAAAAAGATCAAATTATGAAACCAAAAACAAGAAATCCATCAATGATTAGAGTAAAAAATTGCCAAAATTAAAAACAAAACATGGGATTCGATTGACTAAAGTAATTCAACAAAAAAAAGGGGCAAACCTTTCACGATCTGAAGGAAGAGAAGGCTTGTGAGGAGAAGCATGGAGTCCAGAAAGTGGGTACTGCAAGAAACTTCCCGGTAAGATTCTTTCTCCCATCATATACACTCACCCTTTCTTAATCAATTCAGCAGAAAGCAAAACAAACACACACAAAAAACCCAAAGTCATCAATCAAAAGCTATACATATATAAAGAATAGAGAAAAAAAGAGAGAAAAGAAACGCCAAGACTTTTACTTTGATGAGAATGGCGGGTGGAGAAGCATACCATAAAAGAAAAAAGAAATTGGATTGTAGAAATGGGAGGGGTAAGGTAGGGTTACTAGAGGAAACAAAGAGAGAGAAGGAATTTGGAGCAAGTGACTCAGTGAGTTAGGTGAGGTACCAACTCAGAGTCATGAGAGGCAAAGCGCGGAGAGAGGTACAGTGGCAATGGTGGTGAAGCAGAAAATCTGAATTCAGTGGTGGTGAAGTAGAGAGGGAAGAGAGAAAATGAAACATTTTTATTTTTTAGGAAAGGAGGGAGCGGCAATGAAAAATATAGGTGAAGGGGAAAACATGCAAAAGAGCGTGGGATTTATAAACTTTAAACTTTAGCGGCATTTGTGTCTGAAGGGACAGAAGCAAATAGATGAACCCTATTACGCATTTGTATAAAAAATAGTTAAAGTACTACTTTGTTACGACGTTTGTTGAAAAATGCCACTATAGATGAACTCTATTGTGGCGTTTTTATATAAACGCCGCTAAAAACTATTCTGTCACGACCTTTGTTGAAAAAACATCACTATGGATGAACCTATTACGGCGTTTGTATAAAATCGGAATTAAAGTACTACTATTTCGTGGCATTTTTATACAAAATGCCGCTAAAGTTACCATTTTGTGATGTTAGAGGTAAACATGGCTATATGTTTAAAATTAGTGGTGTTTACTCTCAAAACGCCGTTAAAAATGCTGTTGTAGAACAATTTTGCTATAGTGACGTGGCTGGTATCGTCAAGAGCAGCGTTGCAACATCTGCAGCTAGCATCTGTTGAGACGTGTCTTCTTACGCTTTCTGCATTTGTGAGGAGACGTTCGCTATAGACTATCCAAAGGAATGTTTTGATGCGGGGCTAGCTTTGGTATTTCGCTAAAGTTTCCCATAGCTTATCTCTCCTTTCTTCTCCAGGATTGGTTAGGGTTTTATAAGCTGATCTAACCGTGAAGTTACGATCCTATCAAGATTTCCAACCAAAGGTATCGCAGCTGCTGTCATCGATCGGTGGGGGAGTAGCTTCTAGGATATTGATAATATTATCCGGTAGTAGGGGTTTCAAAGTATTCCAGTCCCAGCTTCCGTCACTCGTAACTACATCCCTAACCTTGGTAATAACATTGGCTATTTTCCTTTGCTGTGTACAAAGTGGTGAAAGAGGGCCTATATTCTTTAACCAGTCATCGTTCCAGAATTCATCTCTCCCGTTTCCAAGGTTCCAGTTGATGTTACTTCTAAACTTTTGCCACACTGTACTCAGGTTTCTCCATAAGTAGGAGCAGTTTCGGCCTGGTAGTTCCGTGGGCAGCTTCTCAACTAACTTGTCGCGCAGCACTTTTACCCAAAGCAAGTCGGGGCGATTTATTAATTTGAAGGCAATCTTGAAAAGGAATGCTTCGTTTTGGGCTCTCAAATTTTTTAATCATTGACCTCCAACTTTGGTGGGTTTGCACATATTATTCCAGTTAATAAGATGGATTCCGCCACCTTCTTTGGTTCGACCCTACACAAATCCACGAATCAGGCTTTCAATCTCGTCATACGTACCTTTTGGCATGAGTGTAGTTTGCATGGTGTAGTATGGGATAGCTGAGAGCACTGACTCTTCAAGAACTAATCTTCCAGCTAATAACAAAGCCTTTGCCTTCCACCCCGAAAGACGATCTCTAACCTTTTGGATAATATCGCTGTAGGTTTTCTTCGTTACCAGTCTGTGAATCAGAGGGACGCCTAGGTATTTTCCGAGGTCGTTTACTTCTTTGAAACCTAAGTCCCTTGTGATTGTATTTCTGGTACGTGCATCGACTTTTTTTCGAGAAGAAAATAGTTCTTTTTTGGATGCTAATGTTCTTTGACAGAATTTTTGGAACACCTCGTTTATAACATGTAGTTGAGGTCCATCAGCTTCGACAAACAGGTTCAAATCATCAGCAAAGAAAAGGTGAGATAGGGCTGGACCTGATCGTGACAGTTCAATGGGCTTCAGCCTCCCTTTCTCCACTTCAGTAGTTATAGCTTGAGGCAGTCTCTCCATACACAGGACAAATAAATATGAAGAAAGGGGGTCTCCTTGTCTGAGTCCCTTAGACGGTTTAAAAGATTCGGTTAATTCTCCATTCCAGATAATCTGAGTTGTGGTTGTGGTCGCACATTCCATAATAACCTTCCTTAGAGAATCTGGGAAACCAATATCTGCAAGTGAATGGTTTTTTGATCAAAGATTATTTTGTCGGTTATCGACCGACCCAGAATAAAACTTGTTTGGCTGCTCGAAACCAGGTTGGGTAGGACAGGTTTGATCCTGTTTACGAGTACCTTGATAATGATTTTGTAGAGTACTGTAAAAAGACTTATCAGCCTGAATTGTGAAATTGATTCCGGTTTGTTTAGTTTTGGGAGTAGAACTAACAATGTCCTATCTAATGATTCGTCCATGGATCCTCATTCCACAATGTGACGAACACAACGACATACGCTTTTACCCACTGCCTCCCATTGTTGTTGGTAGAATATAGGATGTATCCCGTCTGCCCCAGGTGCTTTTAACGGACCCATACTAAAAAGAGCATTTTTTTTTCTTCATCTTCGTATGGTTCCATAAGAGCTTCCACTTGTTCTGTCGTGAGGCTAGGAAATAGACCTCTCGATCTATACTGGTTCTGTACTGGACTTGCGCTTGTGAATAGGTTTAGATAGAATTCTTTCGCATGGTTCTTCAGCGTTTCTAGGTCAGAGCTCCAGTCTCCTGAGGGCAGTTTTAAAGAAGAGATCAATTTTCTTCTGTGTTTAACCATTGTACTAGTGTGGAAGAATCTTCTATTATCGCCATGGTTGACCCATTTACTCCTAGCTCTTTGTGCCCAGAGTATTTCCTTCTGTCTGAGTATTGTGTCCAATTCCATTCGCAACTCATTGTCAAGATCAGAGAGTTTTGTTAACTCAAACCTACGTAGTGCTTTGTCAATGCCCTTTAGACGAGCTTGGAGCTTCTTTTTCTTTTGGTTTATGCTACCAAAGATTTCACGGTTCCAGACTTTCAATCCCTCTGTGATTTGGATGAGGTTTAGCTTTATCTCACCGTTGTCGTTCCAATTGGATTTTATGAAATTATCAAAGTCCGGGTGATCTAGTCAGGCTGCTAAGAATCGAAAAGGTTTGTTCGTCTTGGTTTCTGGTAAGCCTTCCGATCGGAGGAGAATGGGGCTGTGATCTGAACCCAACCGGTTAAGGTGAGAAATTATAGAACCTGGGTATTGGTCATCCCATCCGTTGTTCATCAAGCATCGGTCAAGGCGCTGCCACAAATTGCCTCGTTTCCATGTGAACTCATTGCCTTTGAAGTTTATTTCCTGTAGCCCATTGTTCAAGATGAAGTTTTGGAAAGCTCTGCTGTATCCCCTATTACTCCTGCTGTCTCCATGTCTTTCTTCCATTCGGATTATGCAATTAAAATCACCACCCAATATCCAAGGTTCATTATTTGTTGGTTTAATTCGGATAGTAGTCCCCAGAGGTGTTTTCAGATTGTGATGTTTGGGCTGGCATACACGGCAGTGAAGAAATGCCAGAGAGAATCACTATCCTTCTTGAACCTCCCGTGGACGAACTGGTTGGAAATACTCAAGATTTCATCATTTACTGAATTATCCCATAGAATCTAAATACCACCTTGGAAACCTAACGCTTCTACTCTGAAAGAGTTTACGAGTCCCAATTTGCTTACAATTTTGTCCGCATTTGCACCGCTCGTACGAGTTTCAAAGAGTGCAACAATCTTAGGCTTGTAGTTCTTGACAAAATCCTTGAAATATCTTCTGAATGAGGTTTTGGTTACCCCTTGAGTGTTCCAAAACATAAGATCCATATTAGTTGGGGTTTGGTTTGTCTTGGATTAGGACATCCATTGCCTCTTCCGGATTGCTTCGATTAAACTCACTCCTTATTGGAGTTTGGTTGGGTTCTTGTACTGCTGAGGCGGTGGAGTCGTGACAGCAATCTTTATCGACTCATTTTGTACCCATTCGGAAAGAATTTGAGCTTTGGGTGCTCGGTATTCTCCAGGTTTCTTAACCCTAAGACCTTTGGAGTTCTTGGTATTTGTTTTCTTTACTATGTTCAATCTCTGTGAACGTCCCAAGTTTGAATCATTTTCTCGCTGCATGGTTACCTCCCTCTAAGTTAGGGGTGTGTTCCAAGATCTGGGCATTATTATTAGCCGTGATTTGGACTTCTCCCTTGGGATGGGGAGATGAAATATTGTTAACCCCTTGTATCTCTCCTGATAGTACCGGAATATCGACTAATGTACTCTTACCTTTGTCTAATCCGGGTTGTGCTTTGGGTGAATAGGGTTGGGGTGTCTGTTTTGTATCCTAGCGTGTTCTACAACTCATCTTGGAGTTTAACTCTAGCTCCTTGCCCTTGTTTGCAGGGGATGTGGGTTTATGGCCTGAAGGTGTTGTCGCTTGAGGAGGAGCTTCGCTCATCGGGGGCTGTTCTTGAAGGGTGCTTGTACCTGGGCATTCAATGTCGTTTTCAAGGCTTTGGAGTACGTCAAAATGGGAACCTTGTTTGGGATTCTTATCGAGTTCTTTGTTTCTGGGTGGATCAGCTTGGTTCCTTCCTTTCCTAGTCCTTGGTTGAACGACCATCCAAGGGCCTAAGGGGCTTGCCTCATTTGCTGTTGGAGTTGGAGATGTTTCTAGGGTTTGGGCGTTGTTGATTTCCTTATTCGATTCTTCTTTTCCTGCGCTGCACGCCTCCTTTTAGTGACCATACGTTCCACAATTACCGGGAAGAATCCAGAGTTGTCGATCTCCACGTCGCCTTCGTGGAGAAGTATCTCTTCTTCTTAGGAATATGTCTAAGAATTCTTTGTTTTCTCTGAAGAACTTGCAGCCATGGCTGCATAAGAGATTCTTCTTGGTTTAGGGTTCCTTGCGTCAATTCTAGGTTTCGTTTGGTCGGCTTATGCATCTCGCATGCTCA